TAACTCTATACAAAGTTGGTCAATTTTACTGACCTTGTAACCACCAAAAAAAATTTAAATAAATCTAAATTACCCTACTTTACTTTCTAGAATGACTTCAAATCTAGCGTGAAACTACATTTGTTTATCCTAAGTAGCTTTAAACTCATAACAGTATACATCTATTTATAATTAAATTTTATTGCCCTCTGAACTGTGTCTAACTGCTATTTGTGCCATTATAAGTTGTAACTCACTTGGGGAATGTGCAGCTCATGTTATGCTATCAAATTACATTACCCACGAGTTACTCCGAGTTACTGCTCGTGTGTGTGCCTTATGAAATATTTATATTATGTTATTATTACTACCTATTTTACCTTATCTAACCTTAACTAATTTAAAGAGATCTCTATTTTTACATTTTAGTAACTTTTATAATAGCAAATAAAGAATAAACATGAAAAACAAGAAATAAAGTACTTACACCAGCATGTTTTTTTTTTTGCTGTCGACTATTGATGACACTTAACCCTAATTTTTTGCACTAATGGTAGTTGTGCATTAAATAATTTTTATTTAGTTAAATAATGCAAATAACATAGACTATTAACATGCAAAAAAGCAGAAAATTTTCTGTAACAATCACAATTTTTTGCTAGTTTTAAGTGAGCAATGTTTAAGAACGTTTTTCCAATTGAAAAACAGTTTTTATTTTTTTACTAATGTTAAAGAACAGTTCTTATGATGGTTTATATTATTTTAAATTTATATTCAGTTTTAGCCAATTTTTTCAACCTTTTTCTAAGTTTATTGTTATTATTGAATGCTACTTTCAAGGAGAATAAAGTGGATGAAAGTTTGTCATGAACACTGTTATTGAAAAGGTAGAGAGACTACATTTCAGTCTACTGAAATGTCTCATCAGATTACATATTTGCTTACTAGCTTGTTTTTAAATGTTTATAGTGTTCTTGCTAAATAATAATTTTTATTTGTTCTAAGGATTTGCTCATTGCTTGTGGAGAACTTGAATTCACATTAATTTAGTTTCTGTACATAAATTTCTGAATAACGTTGATCTTTCTGTTTCTAATATGTTTAACTTCTTTTAATTTTTTGGCTTCGTGGTTTTTGTGATCAGTATTCTGCAGCTACTTTAGTTATTTTGGCTTCCACAGTTAATTGCATGCTCTGGTATGGCTAGATTTATGCATTCATGAAATGAGTTGTTTCTTTATTTCAAGTCTCTTTACGATTCTCTTTGCGAACAAATTGCTTTTAGTTCTTATGTCTTCTCACTTTTTAAGAAGTATCATTCTAGAGTTAAAGTTAATTTGAGATTGGTAAGACTTGAATTTAAAGCACTTTTTTGTTGACTTCCTGAAGCATTAGTGATGAGGTGATAGCTTTATATTGTGTAACATAACATTAAAGAAAAGAACTTTTTTACTATCTAGTATGAATTTAATGCTGTTCATTTGAGGTAAAAATTCTCTAACACATTTTTCCTTATTTTGTCAAATCATGATTTTATCAACATTATAGAACTTCCAGAGTTTTAAAGATTCTTATGGAAAAGCTTCAAGTCTGTTGTTCAGGTTTTCCAGTTGAGAGGATGCTGATGAAAGAGAATACCAGGATCCTATTTATAAGCCAACATAATGTTCAAATAACAAACTCAGTAGTTGAAAATAAAAGTTGGTGCAAAAGATTATCAGTTTCATAAAAATATCTGTAGAAAGCTAATTGGAAGGATAGTTTTAGTGGATTTTGAAACCTTGCATGGTGATATAAAGTACCTTAGTTACTGGAATATTGGAAAACATATCTTGAATCCTCAAACTGACTTTAACATTCACAATATTGTGAAGATATATATATTTATCAAGGTCTTAAAAATCATTAACATTCTGTTCATTTCATTTAAAGATGCAAAAGTGTAGGTACAAAGAACTTGACAAAGTGATAGCAGGGTTACAGCGAAAAATTACTAGAAATTAAATGGTTAAAGGAAAGAAAACCCATTGAGTTTATATCTACATCATTAAAGAGAAGTTATTAGTGAGGTTTAAATCCAAATCATTAAAAGTAAGAAAGGTTATTAGGGTCTACATCCATATGGTTAAGAAGAAAAGTGTTTATTGGGGTTTACTTATAGATTGCTAAAGAAAAAAAGATGTATCTAGAACAGTACATATTTGTGTATGAAAGCTTATTATGCATATATAAAGTAAATGGACAAACAACGATTAATAAGCATAATGAAGTGTGTTTATTTTGAGGAATATAACATGTTTCTCAGGTGATGGTATTCCAGATCTTCAAGAATCTCCTTAAAAAATCAGTTTAAACCAAGTGTGTATTTCCTTTGGGGAGGAAAAACTTGATAGATCAATGTTCTATTGAAACATATAGTATGTTCCCCAAAATGAAACCATTATGCATGTAGATTGCTGTTTCTTAACATCTACATGATTAAAAAGAGAAGAAATAAGTCCAGTTTCTAAACAAGGTGTTAATAAGAAAATAGATTCTACTGGGATGTACCCACAATATTAGATAGTTACAAGAAAAATGAAGTATTAACATTTATTTGTATATTAGACATAACTCATACATGTAAAATGAGAAAAATATTAACTTAAAAATAAAAGCTACTGACTGCCAACTGTTTTGTAAAAAAAAAACAGGATTAAAACTTGCATTAACTATCTCGCTATGGGCTCAGCTGATTCGAATGATTTCAGGACCCTAAAGTGACATTCATATTTTCCATACTATAACTATAAAATAATAACGTTTTGTCTTCATGAAAATTCACAAGTCTTTTGTAGACAAAAAAATCGAATTTTTAATGAGTTATTTTCACTAACAATTTTCCTATGAATATATTTAGTCAAAGTGTTTACTCCTCTGAGTGCAAAGTGATTTTCAAATTAAGATTAAAAATACACTTTTTCATTTGAAAATTGTCAAATTTCATTTATATAATCTCTAAAATCTCCTAAATAAATATAAAACGTTTGTTTTCAAGGAAACTTTATATTTTATCTGTTATTTTTTCTTACCTAACTCTATACATGTTCAGTCAATTTGACCAACTCTGTAATCACCATACAAAAATATGAAATAAATCTAAATTACCCTTTTTTCTTCTTAGAATGACTGCAAATTGTAACAGGAAAATACAGTTTTTTATCCTAAATAGCATAAAGCTTGTAACAGTATACATCTGTTTCTACTTAAACGTTATTGTTTTATTGCCCTTTGAACTGTCTAATTAATAATTTCATCACAACATGTACCTTACATTACTATATTGAATTATGTAATGCATGATCTGCTTGTGAGCATACCTCATGAAGAATTTTTATTATTATTTTTATTTATCATTATCTTACTTAATCCAACTTTATCTAACCTAATAAGTTTCTAATTTTTACATTTTAGTTACTTTTAAATAATAAATAAAGAATACAGGTGAAAAACAAGAAATATGGTACTTACCTGGGTCTTGTTTTTTTACTGTCGACTTCAATGAAATTTAAGCCTACTTTTTTATATTAAAGGTACTACTACACTAAATATTTTTTATCTAATTAAATAATGCACTTAAGAACAAGAATGATAATGTTCAAAAAGAAAATGATGTCATATAACTATAAACAAATTTTAGCTTTCTAATTATGTGATAAGAATCTAAAAATTCAGGTAAACTCGTCAGTGTCATTGCCTTGCAAAAAAAGTTATGAACTGGGGGCAAAATAGACAATTCTCTGTACAGAAAACAATGTAATATAATATGTCATTTGATAGATAAAACTATTTTCTATTGGTTGTAAATAATATAGAATAAAACATCAGAGAGAACTATTGGCAATTTGTGAAAGTTAAGCTGTGACAGATCATCATGGCAAGTGGGTCTGATTTTCTAGTTTATGGCTCCATAGACAGATGAGATTGAAGGCTTTAAAAATTATTCTTTGCCTGAGTAATATCTATGTTGTAATGAGTAACTTACATTAAATTCTGTGCTTCTTGGAGGGGTGGTAAATAAATTAGAGAAGAGGGAAGACCTAGAGAACAAATGCCACAATTCTCATATTGAGGATTTTTAGAAATATTTCCTTATAATATTAAAACTTGTATAATATTAAAATTTGATTTATTAACTACATTTTGATGCCAAGTTTCTTTGTTTACAAGGATAGTAAAGTATTTTATCTAAATTTTGAATGTAGCTCTAAAAAGACATGACGTGCCCTTTGACCTGCCCATGGTGAGAGTGTTAATAAAATCTAATAAGTTGTTCAATTTTTGAACCAAAGTAATGAGTTTAGAGTTTGGTATTTCAAAATCATGAGTGATATGTGTGTGTGTACCATTTCATCTCATATTAACTGTTGTTACATGTTTTTCAGGTGGTGGTATTCCAGGTCTACAAAAATACCCATAACAAACCAGTTGAAGCGAAGTACGTGTTTCCTTTGGAGACTGGATCAGCAGTATGTGGATTTGAAGCTTACATCAACAACAAGCATGTTGTAGGGAAAGTGAAGGAGAAAGAGAAAGCTCATGAGGAATATAAAGAAGCTATTAAAAAGGGACATGGAGGCTATCTGATGGACCAGGAGACACCAGTAAGTGTAATGTTTTCTAAAGAAGTGAATACACACTGTAATATTCACAGATCAAACTGGAACAAACAGGGAAATGACCACTGCCCTAGAGTCATTGCTTTTTATACAAGTCAGGATTGAAAACTAAATCAACAATCCAAATGGCAGGCCATGGAATTCTGGAGTTTTTTCCAGTAGTTGAAAGCTAGATCTAGTGTATTGAACCAAATGATGCCTTCAAATGCATTCACTCATTTGTCTGTTTATGGTAAGGAACATCATTGGTACATGCTACCATGTTCACTTTTTGAAGTCCACATTCAACTGTAGCATTCCTTACTCCTACCCCACCGTAATTAATGGTGACAGTCAAACACTCTCAGAAGGTTTTATGCCCTTCAACATCTGTTCAGTTTCATCACTAGCAACATTCTGTTGTTCCTGAGAAATCTATGGGCCAGTTGTTTTATCAGATATGTGTCACGTTTTTGTGCATTGACATCTTATTGTTCTTCTACCCTGATTATCATTTTGTGCTCCAAAAACATCAGCAAACTCTGTGAGCAATTCACAGAATTCCTGTTTCTGTTGAGATTGGTAGCACAGTTTTCAACCAGGGACTTAAGATTATTGTTTGTGTTATCAGATGAATTACAGCTCCAGTGGTGCCAGCTGTGAGATTCATGTATGTTACTTCTGCTCTAATAACCATTTGAGCTGGATGCTGAATAGTTGGATGTCCATAATTACAGATCAGTACAGGCACAATGCCCACACTCAGATAGATGTATGTTTGAACAAGTACAGTCTGTTTTCTAGATAGAACATTTGCTTTGGTCATTAGCTCTATCAGCACAGCATAAGGTGGCAATGGACTAGGCTGGGTCCATAGTACTCTGCAGAATACAACTTGCATGTATGGAATCACCTCTACTCTTAACATGCATGTAAGCAGTATGTAGTTCTCAATCTTATCAGCATTGAATAGTTTATTAACAGAAATGAAGTTCAACTGTTGGATAAACAAAACTGGCTGATAAGTTTTGCAGTAGATTTTTCCTGAAGTTTCTTCACTTAAATTGCCTGTTACATTGCAAAGTGGAGAAGGATCTTTGTAGTTTCAGTGTTCACTAGGAACTCAATTTCACACCTGCGTACCATTACAGGCATATTTCATACAATACCAAGCAACATACCTTTGGGTGCAAGCTGACTGTTGCACTTTCCCAAGCTGGTAGGCAAACACAAGTTAGGCTTCATTAGTTTTAAGCCAGCCATTTCTTGCCATCAACCATTCTGCATTTGTTATGATGTTGACTATAACAAAACTTCCATCTTCTGCTTACTCTCTCTCATGACAGTATTTGAAAAGTCCTGAATAATATGTGGTAAACAGTTAAAATATAGTCTCAGTTGCTTATGCCTTAGGCATTTTTGTGAAGGTATCTCTAGCTGAAGTGGTGGTGCATTCATAGGAACTTGACATTGAGTGACCTGTTGTACCATGGGAAACTGGAGGCTGCCTCATAATATCTTGTGCCATCTGCTGACACATTCTGATGAACATAGTGTCTTTGATTGACTTCAATGCATAAGGCTGTGATGCACAAGGATGTGCATATTTTATGCTGTTTTGTATCCAACTCAGCTGCTAGTTGCAACCTCAAACCATTGTCAGTGTGCCTTGCTGGCTGCTTTATGTGGTAGTGCTGTGGCTCTTTCTGCATGTCCTATTTCTTTTTTGTCATAGATGACCATGACTAGCACTTTGCCATGCCTATGCTAATTGATGAACATATAGACATTCCATTGAAACCATCTTCTGCTTTATATTTCTGCATGTGAAAAGTAACCAGTAGATGTAATGTTTATGTGGTATCTGATGTTTCCCCTAGCTAGCTTTCAAACTCTTGACCCTGAGGATAGATCAGTAATGTGGATGTAGATCATGACCTTGCCTCAACTGCAACTTTTTTTTTCTCTCCAACATAAGATCTACTTTGCTTTAATCAAGCTTACAAATTTAATATCAAAGACAGGAATCAAATTGAACAAAGAAGGACATTAAAATTAAACTCTACAAAACTAAATTCTTGGTCATGGCACCAAAATTGTAACTTAATGCATCTTTGGTATTTCAGTTAAAACTATAACCAACAGTAAGTATTAAGTTTACAAGATAGGAATTCAGAGGAAATGTACTGCACAGGATAAATTTAGAACAGACACCAACAGAGAGACCCAAAGACAAGTATACAAATAAGAATAAAATATTTACTTAATACATGCTTGAGAATTAAGATGTGCTAAGGTCTTACTAATTGCTCCTAATTCATTTAAACTTCTCTGACTTCTGGAGTTGAAGAAGATCATGTCTTTGACTGAATAACTGAAGAATTGTGCTTTCAAGTTAAATTGAAGTCCTATTTAGTATATACTTTTGGAGATAACTTGTGAGATAGCAAATTCTACTTTTATTTTGTTATGGTTTTGTTTACTCTTCATTTATTATTCCTTCTTTCATTAATTCAACTATGAATTTTTAGTTACATTCAAGTGCTAACTCACCTTCCAGCTAGAGTGCTTTTAATTATGGTATGTATGTATTATGAAACTGACACTGTCTTCCCCTAGTGATGAAGTACAGATATTAATGTTGTGAAAGATTATGTAAGTTAGCTAGTCACATGAGATGTAACCTTGTGATGTAACCACTAAATAAAACCATGCCTTAAGCTGAAACAAGTTAGTTCACAAGATATGGTTAAAATGTATTATTGGTGATCATTACTTCGTTATTGATCTTGAATTTGTTTAAATTTAGAATATTGTGTTTTCTTCGAATTAGGTTTTTTCTTCTTCTGGTTCTTTTTTTCTGATTCCTTTATTTATTGAAATAATTATTAACATTGATATCTATGTTGTATTGTTCATTATTGTTAGGATCAAGTTTTGGTCAGGTATGTATTTATTAACATTGTTTTTTGTTTAAGTGGTAAACTATATATTTCAACTATTTGAAAGATTTATCTTGGATTTTTGTGGTTGCCAAGGTTTAATAAATTTGGTTTTTTGTTCGATCCTGGTTGATACAGCTGCTTGTTTTAATCTGTTACAAACTTCGATCTTATACTAACTTGTATAGACCTGTACACTACTCCATCATTTTGGTATGACCCATACCCCATGGAAGAGATAATAGAGAAATTTGGCCTAGTGAGTATAACTCTCTGGAGTAATCATTGTGACAAATAACCTTAGCATATTATGAGGATTAAAACAAGCTTATGACAAGTTACATCCTATTCACAAGGATGTTAAATGAATGCACAACCTGAATGAAAATGTTTTTTAAAAAATGTTCCTCTATATACCTAAATAAAAATTTATTCTTTTTCTAGTTGTGGAATGATGAAATCTGGCAGTTTGTAACTGCTTTCAAAATTAGAATATTCTGCTTATAGTGCATATAGGACCAATTTTGGAAAAGGAGACACCAGTATATTTTTGTATATAGAAATATATTTAGGATGCAGTTATATTTTCCAGTTAAACATTACATAACATATAAGGATAACAAGTGGCCTGTTGGTTCATTGAAGCTGTCCCATTCACTAAAGTAAACTTAAAAACAAAAAATACTCAAATCAATTCCTTATCATTTAAATATTTATCAAGTCATCCTTTAAACTCCCTTAGACTTACTGTCGCCACATCTGAATGCCAACCATCCTGTTAGAAAAGTAAAACTGTCCTAGCTGAAGATAACTCCTACCCTGCCAAAATTTATATTTCTGTCTTGTTCTACCATTCTTGCCATTAGGTATGAAAAAAAGATGATGCATTAACATTATCAGTTCCCTTAATAAACTTAAACACCTCAGTCAGATTCCATTTAACTCATTTTAAGAGAAAAACAATTTTGACCTGTTCTTGTATGACAACCTTTCCCTCTCAGGTATTATCCTAATAGCCCTTTTTTGAACCCTCTCCAGCAATCCAATGCCCTCCTTAAGGTAAGAAGCCCAAGCCTGAATACAATACACCTAATATTGCCTAACCAGTGACCTATACCATGAAATCACAACCTCTATAGACTTGTATTGAATATTTCTGCCAATACAACCTAAAATCCTATTTATCCTACCACTAGCAATAGCACACTACTTGAATAGATTACTGTTCAAACAGAACACTAATATTGTGTATGTTTTATGATAAATCTTAAGGTTACTCTCATCAAAATTATAATTGAGTTTATGAAACATTTATTAATTTACTTGATTGTTCATCATAGCTTGTTTTTTTTCAACAGAAATCATGAATGACTGTTAATTTGAAATATAATATTCTTACTTTATCCATCATGTTAGATTTGAATCAGGCTTTCAATTTTGTTTGTTTCATATCCAGGACATATTTACTGTGAGTGTGGGAAATCTTCCACCCAATAGTACTGCCATTATCAAAATAACCTATGTGACTGAAACAGCCATGGAAGGAGATGTAGTTTGTTTTTCTGTGCCTTCCTCAGTAGCTTCTGGAATAAAAGATGGTGCCCTACAACAAACAACCCAGGTATCATACAACTTGCTTGTACCTATCTGTTATTGTATGTGTTCTTGTAATTGTAGTGCTTGTTAAAATGCATTGCCATGATAGGGAAGTCTGTATATTAGAATAGGTATCCTATTATCATCAGTATCTGACCAATCATGCTATTTCTGATGAATAAATGTATCGTAAAAGGGTTTTTTAAAACTTTTTCTGACAAAATAGCTATAATGGTGGTGTATTTTTACAATTTTATCTGTATAACTAGTTGTTAGGGTGATGTTTCTTCAGATGGATGTTTGAATAATGGTTTAACCTTTATGATGCGTCAAACGGATATATCTGCTTTGATATTTATAGCCAGTTGATGTAACAAACAGATTTACTCCATGGCTTCACAAAAAACTAGAAAAGGTCAAATTCCTAATTTCATTTTTTGGTGGATAATAGACACTTTTCAGGAACCAGCCTGATATGTTTCACACACCAAAAGGTTTAAATTGGACTGTGTAAATGAATGTTTTGGTAGAATGTTATGAATATTTGTATATTATTGATATTACATCATTTGATTTTAGAATACTCCTTTTTAAAAAAATTGTGTATGTTTTATATGTATAATAGTATTTTTAATGTGAATTTGTATACAAATGTTTTTACAATGTTCTTCCAAGTGGATGCTCTAGGTGTTTGTTAATTTAATTTATAATGTGTTTTTAAGTACCTTATGTTGAAATGATAGTTGTGGTGTCTTATAAGTTGACTGTAATGACATTGTTTTTTCTATCCAAATATGTGGCCTAAATGACTTACTTAAATGGGAAGCTTTTGTTTTATTTTGTAATTGCTAATGTTTAACATCGCTTTTCAATACACTACAACAGCAGTATTTGAAATAATGAATTTATTTTGCCTAGCGTAAAATTATAGGATTTGGCAGTTAATTACAAAAATTGCCCAGCAGATATTAATTTTTCTTTTTTATCAAGTGTAACGTTACTGAAATATTTTTGTTGTGATGTGTTGAAAGGTATGATATATATGTTAACACAGTAAGAACTATGAAGAAGGCTTTATGTCAGATATTTCCTTTTCTTTTATACACACTACAGCAGAAATCTTCATTGTGAACTTGTATGAACTTTTATTGTGTCAAATCATTCCATATCTTTTGAGCGTACTACAACAACATTTGGAAACATGATTCATTGTTGCCCAATAATCTCTGTACTTTGCAAAGAAATAGAAGTATAGTTTCATATTGCTCATCAACAAAAACTAACATTAACTAACTAGTGATTGAGCTTGCAGATGTAGCCCTGTTGTAGTGTCTTAAGCCTAAGTATCTACTATACACATTTTGTTTGTCAGACAAGTTAATTATTTTTAAAAGAGTGAAGTTTGATGATGAAAGATGATAAATTAATCAACTAAAAAACAATCAACTGTAGCACTTTTTACTTCAAGCATATATCATACACTGTACAATATTTAAGAATATTTCCAAAATCATACTGAAGTTGCAGTATTGTACCTTCACATAATTGTCTGTATATTAATGAATTTTGTTTATGCATTACCTAATTTATTTGCAGATATTAACACATATTAGTTTTGGTGTGTTCTTTTAACAACATTTGGTATCTGTCTATTTTATTTTTAACATGTTTCAAATATAAATATTTTCATCAAAACATTGTGATTAATATTTGTATGTAGTAATTTACCAATCAAAAACTTAAATTTTTTCTACAAAAAACAACAACAACAATAATACTGACAAATGCCCCCCAGTGGCACAGCGGTATGTCTGCGGACTTGCAACACTAGAAACCAGGTTTCGATACCCCTGGTGGACATAGCACAGATAGCCCATTGTGTAGCTTTGTGCTTAACTACAAACCAACCAACCAATACTGACAAGTTTGTAATAAAATATGCATTGGCTTTGATATTAAAGAACATTTAATTGACATTTGTAATGGAAACACTCGGTGAAGTGCAGTAGTAGAATATTTCTTGAAGGAATGTGAGTAACTTTCCAAGTCAAACGACTGGTCTTTGTGGATACTAAGCATAAAGAGCCCTACTGCTTGAAAAAAAAAAGAAAATATAATTATATCAAGAGGGGGTTGGTGTTTATACGTCATTTTTATTAAAATTTTATTTAAATTATGTATTACTATTGTTGTATATTCCTATTAATGAACATTGAGCTTTTGGCGTGTATCTAAATATATTTTCTCTGAATTATTATCAGTACTTCTGTGTGAATTTTATTTTTGAATAGAATGTCTTTGTAGACACAGTAATATGTAAATAACATCCATTTTAATATGCATTTGTTTTTGTAGTGTTAAATAGTTTCTTATTTTCTAGTTTGAAATTTTAAAAAAAAGAGAATTACTATACTACCACTGTATGTGTGTGTGCAAAAGGTCAACACTAATTATAGTATTTTGGCACTTGTGTATAAAGTTAAAATCATAAATAATATTCAACATTAAACTGGTACACAATTAAAAACATTTTATTTAGGCCTATCTATGGCCTTCAAAAAGTTGACGACTCTACGTGGATGCTGTAACGTTGAAACATTAGAGTCGTCAACTTTTTCGAAGGCCATAGATAGGCCTAAATAAAATGTTTTTAATTGTGTACCAGTTTAATGTTGAATATTATTTATGATTTTAGGTCAACACTACTTGTCCACATGGCACATTTCATTTACTTTTTAAATGTGCCTAAATCTATACATCACTGTCTGTAGATTTTGTCCCTGTTCAAGCAATAAGCAAAATCTTAGACAGTAATAAATGAAGAACTGGAGTGTTAAAAAGTTGCTTGCTATGTGTGGGGAAAAATGTGCTTTTGTTCTAGTTTTTAATTTGGTAATACTTGTTTAATACATGATTTTTTTCAACAAACTACAGCAAGAATTTTAAATGGAATATTTTTGTGTTTTTATTATTTTAAAGTACACTATATTTTTAACACACTACAACAGAAGTGTGTGATTTAGAGCTGATGTAGCTTTCACAAAGGTTTAATATTTGTCATTTCTTTTAACAGCAAGTACCAAAAATGTTTATTGGTTTATTATAAAATTTTAATAGCATTTTGTTGTTTTAATGTATACCTTATTTTTTCAATAGACAACAACAGAAATGTTCAGTGTAATGTTTTTTCTAGTTTTACTGTTTTGATGTTCAACATTTTTTATTTCAGACTACAACAGAGATGGTTGATATAGAGAATATGCATGGAAAATTCAGTTTAAAAATGTGTATTGAAATGCCATTTGTTATTCGAACAATTCAATCCCCTACCCACAAAATACAGTTAAAGGTGAGTTTATAACTTTAAAAATATAATAAATAGTTCCATTTTTCACAAATAAAATTGTGCTATATCTTACTTTAGATATATTAATGTTGGTTAAAAAAGTAAAAAATAAAAATAATTACTATTTGTTATTTAGATGTTGTTATGTTTATTCATATTTTAGAAAACTGAAACCAAGGCAGTTGTGGTGGTAGAAGAATGCAGCATGCTTAACATAGATTTTAGCTTGCGTATAGGACTAGCTGAGGTTCATGTGCCAAGAATGTGGGTAGAAAGGCATCCTGAAGAAGAGAGCCAGGTAAAATTACTAAAAATTCTATTGATTATTTTAAATCTCCATGAAACTGAAATTAATTTTTTCTTATTGTAGTAGCTCTTGCTTTTCATTTCTCAACAGTGCCAGTATTATTATTATCTTTCAATGAATTGGTTGATTTGAAATGATTCATCACTAACTCGGAATGTGATAGATGATAAATGACAGGAAATATTTATTAGGGTTAATGTTATTCTAGTTGTTATAGAAAAATGTGAAGGTGATAATATAAAGAAGTTAGACTTCTGGAAATAAACCATGATGAAAATAAATGATTTGATACTTATTATTTTCTTGGTGTCTTTTCAACCCCCTTTTTTGGGAAAGTAACAAACAAGCATGAAAAAACAGAAAAATGGAAAGGTGATAAGATAAAGAAATTAGAATATTGGAGCTAAATTATCCTAAAAAACCTTCAGTTTTATATGTTATTGTTTTCTTGGTGGTCTGAGCAAATGCCCTTTATCAGCCAGAAACAAGCCCTATTGAAGAATATGTGAAATGTGACTTGTTACCTGTGCATGATTTGTTTTTCCTATTTTACATATATGCTACATTTATAAAGTATGTCATATGAACATGCTCATCAAACATTACTTAAGAATCCATTAAACTGTTTATGATTCCTACTAAATCCTTAAATTTTCTCCTAAATAATATGTTAATATAGCTTCTATACATGTTTAGATAGCAAGAACTTGTAACAATTTTTTGATACTTTGCCAGAAACATTTCTGTGTTTGGTACCTTCTTCTTAACTCTTTTACATGCTAAATGTTTCCTGTAATAACTTTTAATTAGTGCTACATGCTGTTTTCATGTTGTCTACATAGGCTGTCCATAATAGTCCATGTATAGTCTTATGCTTACTAACTTGCAAATAATCCTAAGCAAGTTATTGAAATGTTTTATACAGAGGGTCAAGTACATTAAATACAGTATTCATTGCCATGTCCAGTAATGCTTTATATGATAGTCTGCTTTGTTTGCTAATTGCCTAATTACAGCTTTGGTTAGATGTTTAAATACTAATTTGGCTCATATTAAGTTTTGGAACTAGAACTAACATTAGAAAATATCATTATGAAGTAACAAAAATAGCTAAGATCAGTGATTGGTTTTTTTTGGATATTAGGTTTTAGAATAACTTTAATAAGTCTCTTAATCTTTTGAATAGACTTCAGTCTCTGGACTTAAGAGAGAGGCCTAATGTGATAAAATTCTTGAACATAAATTTTGAAACAGATATTTGTGAGATAATTGATTTATTTCAATACAGTGTTTTTCCCAACAGTGAAACATGATTACATACAACATTCAAAGTACAAATAAATTCAATTTACAAATACATCCAATTAATTTGAATTTATTTGTACCTTGAATGTCTCACTGTTAGAGATGAAATGTTCTACTGAAATAAATCTATTATCTCACAAATAGCTGTTTCAAAATTTTTTATGTTTGATAACTGAGTACTCGAAAAGAAAAAGGAAAAAATTATTATAAATGAGATTTTCAAAATATTGCAAGAAAAAATTGAAATTCCTTCCAAGTGATGTTAACATGTGTACTAATTCTAATAAGTATAAGCAGAGTTTAAACAAAGCCTATGGAATTAATTTAGAATTACTGGCTGATAATTGTCTTAGACTAAGATGGCCTATGCTTCTTGCCATTTTGTGAACTAGTCCATTACAACCATGATCTGTTTATTCTTACTGTTATTTTGAGATAGAGGACCAAGTGGGGTTCCAAGACAGTGCTATTGTAGCTACTCATACTGTTTCTTTCCTGGACCGTTTCACTCACACTATAGTTCACACAATTTACACCATTTGTTTCTCTACAGATCTCTGACAACCAAGCTAATAGCTGTCAAGCTGTTGGAAGGTTGTGAAGATAACAGAGTTCTTACAAGTGTATAGATTGTAGAAGTACCAACATTGTCCTTGTTCCTTCCTACTCGTATTTTCCCATTTTTGATGTAATAAGCCCTCTTATAGGCATAATGAACCCTTCCTGTTCCCAGTGCACCCTTGTCTTCAAGCTGTGTGGAGTAACTGTTTGCCATGTGGGTTTTTCTCCAATTCTTGAATCACCAAATAATTAGTTTCAAAGTTGTATCTGTAGCTGAGTGTTACATCTTGGATTATACTCTGTTGTATTTTAGGTTGTTCATCTTTACTATCTTGTGCTTCCCTATTTTCATATTGTTTTCAATTTTCATTAACACGTGGTCTTCAGGATAATGCATTAACATTTCCATGGTTCTGTTCAGAGTGATGCACTATATTAAAATTATATTCCTGGAGTTGAGCTATCGTGCTATCTGGCCTTCAAACATTTACCAGCCACTCCTGTGCTGTATGATCTATCTGGAGTGTAAACTTTTGTCCATATTGGTAATGATGGAAGAGGCTTAGAACTCAAATAACACTTAGGAGCTCTTTCCTAGTGGAATAATTCCTCCAGCATTCATTGATTGGCAATCAAATTATTGTTTTTTTTATTAACCTTGGTAATTACAGAGTAAAATAATTCAGATGTTATTGTATTCAGGAAATTTGTTTTGTACTATAGTTATTAGGAGGATTTAAATCCATTTTATTTGTTTAATAAGTTATGTTAATAATTATTAGTATCAGAAGTTACAAATTCATGTAGACTTTTGTTCAGTATTTTTGAGTGTTTTACAGGGTTCATATGGTCATTAAAATCCTGGAAAAGTTATGTAATCTTAAAATAACTTTTTGAAATTTTTGGCTTGGAAATCCTGGTAAAAATGGGTTTTTAGCATAAAAGTCATGGATTTTTTGTGTAGTCAATAAAAGATATCCTACAATGCTAATGCCAAATATGACTTCAAAGCAAAATTATTTCTTTATTAAATATTGGTCGTGGGATGTCATCTTCGCAACTCGTGATCTTTCCATGGCGTGAATATGCTTAAACTTGATTGGCTGTTTGTGATGGCCTGACCTACTTATTAAATACATGAATAAACTTTATGATATATTCTTATGTTATGAGTGAATATTTTTGGTTTTAGTACTCTGAATGAGCATTGTAACCTATTATAGTTACAATTTATCAAATATGAAAGAGTAAATATGTGTGTGAATATTCTTTTTAAATAATTTTGTAAGTTTATTATTCTTTGTACTACTTTTACTAGGCATGCATGCTAACGTTTTATCCAGAGTTCGAGGCACCAGAATTACATCAGCCTGAGATTGTGTTATGTATAGATGCATCCAACTCCATGAAAGGTGCACCTTTCCAAGATGCCCTCAAGGTGGCACTACTCTGTTTGAATCATCTGCCAGAAAAATCTCTATTTAACCTTGTTGCTTTTGGTTCAGGTGTGAAACATTTTTCTTGTGTCATAAAAAAATTCTTAGTTCTTTTTTGATGACTCAAAGTTGAAGTTCCCATAACCAGTTGTAGTGTAATTTTCATAAGTGGATAGCTCAAACTTCAAAGGCTATGTTTGCATCAAGTGTATTTAGGATTATTTTTAAGATGTTTTAATTTTCATTAGCTTGCAGTTTGATCATGGAAAATGATGTTATTTAAAGATGGTAGGGCATGTGTTACTGGTGTCACATCAGTAAGAAAGTCATCATGCTCTGCACAGTAGCGAATGATTGTCAGTACAAATCACCTTAAGTGGCAACACTTCTGTAGTAATTTTAGTCCTTTTACTATTTTAAGGTGAGTTCAAATGACTGTTCTGGTGATGGACTGGGAAACCTTTTTGTATACTATACCATATATATAATGAATTTATCAACACAGTAATCTTGTTTACTTCGGTTTGCTGGTAACAAATCTATCACTTGGTAAAATATTAGCAGAAGTAGCTATATTACTAGTTGTACAGGTTTGAAGGGATGGTACAACATTAGGATTCATATGTGCACATGTAATTAATTTACGTCTCTTTCTGTACATCATAAGATCATGACTTTTGCAATAACTTTCTCATAAATGGAAACAACATAATACTGAATTATCTGAATAAATATTCTTTTCATTTGTGCCTCATAAATTTTGTGCACTTTGGTTTCAGTTTTGAGCCCTTTTGGAAGTAATAAAGCTTGTACATTGTGCTGTTGTTGTGACAGTTTGTAACTATATATATTGACAAACCATTTGAATTTTATACAAGTCAAAATAATAAATTATAAAAGATAAACCCAATCACTCTAAGAAAGTGGTCCTACTTTAACAAAAATTGCCCTTTTTATCCTATGAAAATTGCAAGAAAGTTTTACCATGTTATGTGTAGAAAGGAACACGCAAAGTCCATTTATGATTGTCATACCAATACAACACCATTTCTATCTCAGTCAGAATTGGTGCCAAAATAAGCTTCAGTTGGCAGCATTGTGAACAAGCAAGCAGATGCATTCTTTTGATATTGATCTCACTATCAAAAATCGATTTGTGAAGCTCTGAACCAAACACATTAAAAATTATGTTACAATAATTTGTCTATCAAAAAAAATACAGGATGATATAGGTGATTATAGGCTCTTTAAATATAATAGAAATGTAGATCAAGCAATTAAACTATGATCCTTACATGTTGGAAATAGGATAAAACATTAATACCATAGTGATAAATACATATTTTCACTGATAAAAGTCTCATCACACCTGTATTAAAATACAGTAAACAATCAAGCATAAACAGCTAGTGTTAAACATCACAAAATTTGATGTTTGATAAATGGCTAATATATATAACTTCTATCTGCTTGTAATCATTCAACCTTCCTTAAGAGCTGTTAGAAAATATTTGTTCATTGTAGCATATAACAAGTATAATATTATTATACACTATTATTACTAGTAATTTTAGAAAATATTTGTTCACTGTAGCATGTAACAAATATAATACTATTATACACTGTTATCACTAGTAATTTTAGAAAATATTTGTCCATTGTAGCATGTAACAAATATAATACTATTATACACTATTATCACTAGTAATTTTAGAAAATATTTGTTCACTGTAGCATATAATAAGTAAAATACTATAATACACTATTATCACTAGTAATTCATATACAGTTTGTAAAGAATGATGCTAAAATATATTATCTATCTTACTCTGATTTAATATCACACCTATCACACAGTAAAGGTATTATGCTATGTTATCTTAGGTGTAATATACCATCAGACTTGTAAATGACTGATATAAATAGCATTTCAATTAATATTTGGTATATTGTATCCTATGCATTTTGATAGACTCTGGTAATGAAGAAAAAACTTTGTTTTTGAATGGCATGCAAAAAATAAATGTTATTAATACATTTGCTGCCACCAGCAGTATTAATAATTCCTATCCTAGTGCCATTCAGTAGGTGCCAAGGAGTGGTCAAATTCATATGCCACAAAAGATATTTGGCTTTGAAACATGATTGTCTGTGACCCATTAGTGTGTCATGTGGTCCATAACTAAAACTCGGTTGGAACTAGCCGGTAGGGCACATGGCATGGCAGCAAACGTGTTAAATTTCTTTTATATATCCGAGAATTACTGAAAATCATAACAGGCCTGAAAGATGAAGTGTTTTAACCCTAGAAGCCCATATTGGAGAATTAATGTTTACTATAATCCCAACTCTTTGCCCAACCTCCCACTATTGTTTCTTACTTTCAGTGTATTTATTTTCCCTCATCAAGAATGAGCCTTTGTTCCAATACTAATGCTTATGAATATTACTGCACATGGAGATTTTATTATCCTTTTATTGTTGGAGGGATATAATCTGAAGATAATTGCATTATAGGCTTGCACAATACATGCTCTTATGTGTAGGGGTGGGTGTTTCTTCCTATGCTTGTGATGTACGCAAGATCTTCCCAGCAGTGGTTCAATGTAATAGTTCTTTGTTGTGTAGATGTAAGTAACTATCACTATCTGAAATACATTTTCAGGTAAGGAAAATGTTAACTTTGTTTAATATCTGTAGTAACTAATTTTGAGGAATGATTGTTGACCTAAAATAACACTTTTTTTTTTTACAGTATTCCAGGAGCTATTTCCAAGCTCTCAGCCTTTTACATCCAAGATTAAAAAAGAAGCTCAACAGTTTTTGAAGCATCTAACTCCAAATTTAGGAAACACAGAGTTATTCAGACCTTTGAGATTCTATCATCTAATGACAAACAGTGATAAACTTGTAAATATGCTGGTAATTACTGATGGCTTTGTGAACAATGAAGGAAGTGTGATTACAGCTGCTAGAAAAGGATGCTCAAGAGTAAGGGTTTTCACCATGGGTGTAAGGTAAGCAGGTAGGAAGAAGTGCAGTGTTTACTGTACCAATGAGAAATTTCTAGATATCTATTTTTTTGGGCAAGATATATTATAATTTGTGACTCACAGGTTAACTAAGCGAGGATGATTTATTTGCAACTTATACAATGAAAATAAAATGAGACTTTATGTTCAGTGGTTATAATTAAATAAGAAACACATTTCACTTAAAAATGTCCAAAATTAAAAACTGAAATTACTACTATTGAATTAAATCACAAGTCTCCTATTTTGCTTTTCAATAAAATGCATTGAAATTTTCTTTGCTAAATAGATTTATATCATATTATTCTTAGTAATGCCATTTATGAAAATTCTGTGTTCCTGCAAAGAAACATACATTGGAGAAACAGGAAGAAGACTCGTGACAAGAATAGAAAAAAATGAAGACAGTACAAGACTCATGAAAACACAAAATTCAGCCATTGCAGAACATGCCATGCCACTGAACACAAAATAAACTGGTAAAAAAACTAGATTCATTGATACAGACAAATTTTGGAAGACAAGAAAAATTAAAGAATCATTTTACGTTAACACAATTAAACCTTCACTAAAGAGTGATTAGAGGTGAGTAACCTGTGGCTGCCATTGGTTGAGTCTACAGGAAATCTCTCCAATAATCAGAAATGTATAAACCAACCAATCATAACACACTCTCCACAATCCATCAGAATACTATAAAGACTGACTATATATCACACACACACACACACCGACCTTAAGACGAAAGTCGCAAGTCTTTTGAAACTTCCTCCTCTACACTTGTGTTTCTACAACAGGCAGTTGCCGTCCATTCAACAAAGTTTCAAATGTTAGAATAGTCGTGTATATAAGTTTGTAAATGGGTATGGATATGCTTCATTTCTTAGGTATCTTACTCAATTCCAAAATGTTATGAAAATATGACGTATATATATATAATTGTAAAAGAAGCTTAGCTTTCTTACTATTGCAAGTACCTAACCAGTTCGTAGTAAGTTTGATGAAACTATTCAAAGCTATTAAAATTGATTTAAATTATTTTTTCTCTTGTCTAGTTCTACACTCAACAAACATTTTCTGAAAAGAGTTTCTCATCATGGAGCTGGATGTTTTGAGTTTTTTGATCCAAGTCGTAAATCCAAGTGGATACAAAAAGTTAGTATTTACAAAAGTTACTGATGTGCTTATATTATACATGTGTACATTAGAAACTAATTAATTATCTTTTATTTTTAAATCATAATGAGAAAACATAAAAGCATTCAAATAAGTCATGTTTTAGCTACAAATACTTTACCTGAATGATAATTTATGTTACAGTATATTTCTGAGTGCTTTTTGGGTTTCACTGTGTTTTAATGGTAATTAGATGGAATTGTGTTGTTGGAGTTCATTGTTCACGTGTTAAGTTCATAATAGATATGCTTTTTATGTTCATTATTATTGCTTGTATTTTACAGGACAACATTGAAAAGTTAGTTGGTATGGTCATCATTAATATATATGTAGAATGCCTTAGTTAAAGTATAATGTATAGTAGTTATATATGTGTGATATAATATCACAATTAAATTGATAATAATTGTATGTATACGTTGACAGTGAGAAGAATGTATTATAGCATTTCAACTATACCTATACATTATTTTTTGTATGCTACTGTTGACAAAGCCTTTTACTCAGTACCAGAACTTATCAAACAAGTTAAGTTACATTGTATAAAGTTTTGTTTGAATTTATTCATATATCAGTTTAGAACAACTTAGTTGGTGAAGAGACGGCTTAAATGGGTAATGAAGAAAAACTTTAATACAAGTTTAACATGACAGCTAATGTACAACGTTTCGACAAAGGGTTTTTGTTTATCCCGGAACCTGAGGGTGAAAAAAACTTTCTTAAAC